TTTTTATACATAAATAAGTGGAACGGGGTTGAGTTTTAATGTCTGTCATTTTTTTGTGTGAGAAATTGGGAATATGGAGTGATAGTGTGTGAAGACACTGAGATGGGTGAGTCTCACTCCCAATGGGTGAGAGTTGACAGCCCTGGGACAATGAATGTGTTCATAAGGTTTTGTTTGTTTCTGAACACTTTGAATGTATCAGTATTACATAATAGTTAATGAAAAATAGCTACCAGACAAAAAACACTTAGAGCTAACTTTGTTCACAAGTTCAGTTATTACTCCTCATTAGGTCGCAGCTTAAGGTCCGCAGAGGACAGAAACCTTTTCTTAGTCTAAGTTTGGACTTTCACATTTTCTTTTCAGGAGTGTTTATACATCCATTAGTCTATAATTTTTCCTCCTTTATTGTCTAGTTACTTTGCAGAAATATTACAAGTTACTGAGTTCCCTGTTCTAAGTAGTTGGGTATGTATAATTTGCGTGTTTTTGACATAATCCTTATTATTTCCATCAAATCTATCATTGAAGATGTGTAAATGTAACTTAATTGCTTCTAATTTGGTCTTCTTCTTTATGTTATCTAAACTTCATTGATGATGCATTTAAGGTCCTTTTGAAAGCTAAAATTTCCCATTAATTCACCTCGTATCCATTGGATCTGTTAGAATCGACACAAATGGCCCTGTTTTCCATTCGTTTAATTGTTAAAATTTGATGGAGTTTTTCATTTTCTCAATAATTCTTTTAGCATCTTGCTTTTCTTTTGCATTGTGCTTATATTGGTTGTTCGTTTCCATTTTAGATAGATTGTATATGGTTTCACAGTTTTTTGCGCTACTGCCTTGCAGTTCTGGGTTCGATTCCCAGCTTGGGCTATTTCTGCACGGATGTATGTTCTCCCCATACATGATTGGATTCCGTCATGGTACTCCGGCTTCCTCCCACAGTTCAAAGACATGATTGTTAGTTTTATTGGTATGTCTAAATTGTGCTTAGCTGTGAGTGTGTGTGCATGGTTGGGCGTCTTTGTGTGTCTCAGTGTTGCCCTGCAACAGACTGGTGAACTGTCCAGGATGTACCCTACCTCTCCCCATAG